TATATATTAATAATGTGTCTCGTTATTTACACAATCATTCAAAGTTTACGCTACGCGTAGCATGAATGATGTGCTTGTTGCAAAATATATTAAACGCAAGTATCATGTTATACCCATGCTGTGCAATCTCTTTCATTTCCGGTACAATAAATTTCCACACGGATACAGAGATTTTCCCACCAGTTGAAACAAATAGCTCCTTATAATATTGTATTAATTTTTGCTATTACTATATACGCTACGAGCGCGCTTGTGCTCCCGTTCATTGTTCGGTTGCCGAGTTAAATATTCTCGGGTAAGTTGTTAACATCGCGTGTACACACATAAACTGAGGCGATATATCGCGAAATGCGTTAACAACTGAGCGATCCCGCTTTCGGGTAAGAATCCTGCGTCGGTTTCGCTGGACCGTATTTTCTCAACAAACGCAGTTTCCTCACCACGAAACGCTTTATTGCCGACCTGTATTCACTCGGGATTTAACTTCTGCGGACATTAACGCGGGAGCGAGCGAGCCGAAGTTTTGTCTGGATGAGTTTATATTCTTCTCCGGTGGCGACCAAAGTACGTGGAGTCTTTAATTGCGGACGGTAGTGTCGCGCAGGTGGTTCTTGCAATTTAAATAGCACATGACAGAAAGGACGCTCTCGCGTTCTGCTCTCGTAATCGTGAATCGCGTTTGGCTCGACTGGCATTCTTTGTATCTAATACGTCTACGTGTTCAGCATATTTTTTTCTTCGTAGTGCGTGCAAAGAATTTTTCGTTTAATTAACAAGGAGCATTTATTAAATACTCAATGGGTTATCGTCCTCTTGAACTACTGAACTAAGAAACTAAATTTAAGTTCAGTTGAAGTTTTTTTTAAATTAACAACTCAACTTACGAACAAGTTAGCAGCTTAAAAATCTGAGAGATAAGCTGGAGAAAGTTTTTAATTAATTATCCGTACAATTTCAATAATCAATTGAATGTATCGAGATTTTTTCTTCTTATTAAAGCAGCCGTTTCTTTTTCTTCGTTTTGAAATTGATAAACGCTTCAATGAGATCACGGGGATCTTTCTTGTGGGCAATGTTACATTTTGTTCAACTTACATATGTAGATAAGAACATGTGCGGGATTGAAAGACTTCTCTGAAGCAGTGTGCTAAAAATGGTATATCGGGACTTGACGTCATCGAAGCTGGTCGCATACTTGTTCAAATATCATGTGCTCCGGCTATTCGCTGTTACAGACACAGGTCGTTTTTAAATAGACCCAGTCATCTTACACAAGCATTTAAGTCTTGAAATTCAGTTCGTTAAATTTATGAAAGTTTACCGAGCTCACTTTATCGAGGTACATCAGAACGAAGCACGTGAAGATGATACAAGATGAGCGACACGAATAGCAAGTCAGCGTTATGTTGTTATGTAAACTTCATGACATATCTCGACTGAAAATACCAATTTCCCAACTTTCCGCGAGTAATATACGTTATTATACTTTTTTCAAAATTTCTCACGTACTCTATAAAAGTGAATCAGTAACTTTAGTGCTACACTTATAATTGATGTAATCGTCAGTGAATACTTATTTACTGTTATAAACTTATGTCAATGATAATTCACTTTTAGAGCGTATCGTTTTAAATTTTGCGAAAGTTGACAAAATTTCTTATAATTTCCTTTTTTCTGCATTTACGCATTCCATTTTTCCTGTTCTTATACGTTGATAATAAAAATTTCAATCAAATCGTTATAATCATTATTTATATTTATACAAAGCCAACATCGAATAATGCATCTATTTGACATTCGTTCATTTGGATGTTTCACAAATCAAAATGTGTCACGTTTTCGCGATGAATTTTATTATGTCCCGCGCGCAATTACAACATTTTCACCTCGATGTACATTCGCGTGATGCTGCTCCCGGTGAATATTCGTCGGGTGAGCCGTGCATATCGCCGTACATATCGCCTAAATATTCATCATACATTAAATAAACTAGCTCGTAATCTCTGCAATATCCCCGATGAAATGCTATTTATTTCAATGTTTTATTTTGACATTATCCTGTAACATTTCCCAGTGCCAACGACATTTCGTTTATTATCAAAGCAGGGTGTCTGACATCGGCCCGCGTCAAAGGATCGTCTCGTTTTACGTTCGGACTTTAATGAGTTCAGGTGAACGGCCGTATGGCACGGGAGTATAAACGCGAATGCTCGTCCTGTTCGTGTTCGTTCGCTGTATTACTCACTTTGGAGCCACTGAGGACAGTCGGCGAACGATAAGATGGCACAAGACGCGATAATGTGACGCTATTTGTCAAGGCGTTTCGCTATTCCGCACGCGGCTGCAGAATTACCCTATACAAGTGGAGAACTGATCTTTTGGGAAATGTGTTTCCATAAGGAAACTAATTTGGTAGATGTTCTACTTTAGCCGTTATATACTCGACTATATGAGAATTTGCTTTTTTTTTTTGTTGCTATTGCCGTTGGTTTGTTTTTTCGACAGTCCACAGTTTGTTTTCACAAACTCTCATAAAGGAATTTAAAATAAGAACGATTCAAAGTTTTTATTTAATTCATGAATTCTGCAACGAGTATTGGATATTAATCCGCTGGGTGTGAATGATATTGCGACAAGTATGCGAATAAGCGCAAAGAATCGTTCGAAATAAGATCTTATTGTGTTATGATCGTGTTTAAATAAATATGATATAATAAATCGGTTGCTAAATAATATCGGTGATTAACTAATAACGTTATTGTAAAATTTTTTGTGATTAACTAATATATTATATTGACTTGACCGCTTGATGCTACAAATGCTTTGAAACATTCTTTGATTGGTCGATTAGTAAAATTCTTTTTTCTGATTGTCAGTTAAATGCTTCGAAGCATTTATGTAGCGCAATGCATGGACTGCACCAATTGATGTTCTTGTGTCGCACATTGATGTAATATTATTCTTTTGTTATATTGTTATCTTTGTTAGACTCATTTTAGGTAATTTATATTTTACATTGAGGGATTCAGAATTCTGTTTATATAATTTTATTATATATGCTACATTCTGCGACACGCGTTTGCATTTTGATGTACCTACTTATTGCGTATGTATATATGTACATTTATTGTGCGCATTCTAAAGCTTGAAGTTTACTTTTCATGTATGAATTTTAGTGAGTACGTAAAATTACAGACGTGTAGGATTTTATAACAAATTTTAAACTGTGTTTAAGCTGCAATTTAATATTTATTTTTGCAATTGATATTTATTGCAAATCTTACTGCCAGCTTTGTGTCTAATTGATTTACGATAGGATTTTTTTGTGTTCTTTAAATTAGATAAGTATTATATTATTTATTTTCCACTTTCTGAAACGTCTTTTATTTCTTTAATTACAACGCGAATAAATCGCATCCGTCAGCTATTTTAGTCTATTTCCTGAATCATTACGAACGTTAACGGTTTCGTGAGAGAGTCCGATTAACTTCAAACTCATGTTCGGCCTTTCGCTCGTTTCGCCGTAACTATCGACAGTGCCGTGGAAACAGACTTCTCCTTTTGCCTTACTAGTCTACCAGTTACTTGCCAAACTTGAACAGCGACTATACAGATACGTATATAGCCGATCGTATAGTTCACAATCGAAATTTGATCATCGGAAGCTTTTGCCACGCGCTTCAGCAACTTCGACTCTAATTCCCTTCCTTATTCTTGCCGAATTCAATTCACTCGTGTAACGGCCAATTTTGCCGTTGTGAGTTTGAAATCATTTTTAGATTTAAACGGAAATATCGCGCACGCGCTCTTATAATTCTGCAAATCTTTTTTTTTTTTTTTTTTTTAAAGAAAACAGATTTTCTATTTATCGTTACATTAATCCAAATACATCAAATAACTAAAACAGATATCGAACATTATTTATTATATACCTGCGAATAGGGAAAATGAACGATGGAATCTGTCATTGTAATCCCATCCATTAAGCGGTTAACCGAGGATTACCGCGAATGCGCTTATGCAAGTTTAGTTGTATTTTGTCGTGATGGTCGTACCAACATCATCATAATCATCCCATCGCGCCAATGCGTTTCGTTGCGATATAATCGTTTATTTGCGCGTCGCGCTAAATGGGTAAGTGTGTCGAACCGGTATTACGCACTTGGTTATTTGCAAAACAATTGCATCACCGTACGTCACTGTTTCGCAAACAAAAGATTCGGTTATTAAATAATACCTGCCATGAGCTCTCGGTTTCTCTCTCTCTCTCTCTCTCTCTCTCTCTCTCTCTCTCTCTCTCTCTATCTCTATCTCTATCTCTATTTGTTTTTCCGTGAAACGAGAAATAGAGAGGAAGAGACGGAGAACGAATGCACGAGAGGAGCAGAAAGAGGAAGGAAGTTTGCAAACATTCGCGCGGACGCGTGCACGCCCATGGCGAAACATTGTAATGCAAATCCGCGACGCGCACGTCAAGAAGCAGGAAAAACGAACTCCCCCCTCGGTGACAATTAATATCACAACGCTCGAGCCCGCAAGAATTCCCACCGCGTCCTTCCGACTCGGCGCGCGTGACACGAATGCACACTGAACGCTATAACCTGCGGTTTTCCTTGTCTTTGTGTTGCAGGGTAAGAACCAGCCCACCCGGACCTGACGTTTCTCTCGCCGACGACAACGACGACGAGCGAAACTCGCGGCGCAGTGCCGTCTCGTTTTCACTGCGACACGACTTCATCCGTCAGCAACGTGTCCCTCATTCTTGTCGTTCCGGACCGCGTTTTCTCTCGAGGGAAGTGCGGCGCGGGTCCGATGTTGAGACTCGCAAATTTCGTCGAGCATTGAAATCGTCTCGCGAAGAGAGTCGTACGCGATTATCGTTCGATCGTGAGATAACGCAAAAATTCGTCGTGCATAATACGACGTATCTTTTTACGTATCCGAGACACACGCGTCGGGTTGCGGCGTCGTGCGCTCTTCAGTGCCGGAAATACCGTCCCGGATAAATCGTAGGACTCGTTGTCGTCACTCGCCGTCGACGACATGATCTTCAGGGTGACGTTGTTGATTGTGTGCACGCTGCTGGCTGCTGCGAGATCTGAACCGAGACCGCGCTCGCGACCAGTGCCGATCTATTCGAATCAGTTCGCCGTTTACGTGCCCAGCGGATTGGAGACTGCCGACGAGATCGCCCAGGAGCACGGGTTCGACAATCATGGACAGGTAAGTGCACCAATTTCTTGTGAGGCATGTGTCGCTTTAAAGAGTTTTTCTGTGTTGAAGTTATAAACGGAACTGAAGAACACGTTCGAATAATCTGACTAAATTATTATATTATAAAGTCAATAATTTTTGCTAAATTTTCACAACAGGTGAAAATATACGATATGTAGAATAAAAATTTGAAGCGTGCGCAGCGAAACGATTTATATGTTTTTCTCAATTTTCAATTTTGTATTCTTTCATTTTTCTGAAAAGATATATAGACGGTAAATATCTATTCAAATTAAATTTTTGTTTCGTAAGATTTTTTAAATAGTGGAAAAAATCATTAATTAGCACGTTATTATAGAATTAAATTGTAAAGTAATTCCCAAGTAGCTTGGAAAACTGGAGCTCTCTGTGGAGCGATGTTCTGAATTCTCTCGAGTGTAGTTCTGAATTCCTTGAGATTCTTGCACTTTGCAAGATTACCGTGGGACCAGTTAGCTTTTGGCAACGCGCATTCGTCGTTCTCCATGTCGAATCACGTATTGACGTTTATCCGTTCTAGCGTCGATGATGAGATTAGATGCTCCGTTACGGGCGATGCTGCTCTGTCGTGGTATGAGATCATAGACCGGGAAAGGGTGTCGATCATGTCGAACAGGTAAGGGGAAAGAGGAAGGCAGAGAACTCAATCTAACGAGACAGATTGGATGGTGGCACTGCCGGAGGGTTCTTCAACGTTGTCGTTTGTATCAGACATGGCTATTCGACGTATGTTCTTCGCAGTTTAGAGTGTGAGCGAGTTGACAGTCACGAATTAAGATCTGCTTTAATTAAAACCAGCCCCTCTTCCCCTAACGGAATACCATCTATAGAGTTATTACACTACATCTTGTGTCACTTATTACATTAATATTACGATGTAAGATATATTATGTCTGTGATAGCACTCTCTAGAAGTCGATTAATGAAAATTTGAATTTTTTAAATTTAGATTTTTCAGATTTTTTTAAAGAATATTTTGAAAGATTATTAATCTGTGAGTTGAGTAAAAATGATTGAAGGAGAGGAGATTAGTACCCCCGAAAGTACATTAATGCCTTCCCTGTCTAATATCTTATAAACGTTTAAAATACTCGTAGCTTAAACTTTGCCGCAGAAAAATTAGTTTTAGTCTTATAGACTCAGGTCGATGAAACTTTGATTGGTAAAGTTTGAAAAGATGTAACGTATAATGTAACTACCTTGTGTATCGACAGCGTCGTGTTGATCGGTGCTTAACAAGTGCGACTCTGATTACTTCAGAGTAACAGACAGAGAAAAAGTGGTGATTGGTACCTAACGTGTTTTGCTGCAGTTTCGTTTTGCGCAACTTTACACGCCGTTGTCTATGACTGGATACGGGAAGTGTGGTCGGTTTACCCCGCTGATAAGGCAGTTGATAAATACTGTACTGTGTATCCTGGAGTCATACATCGCTCACGGTCAGGCAATGGCGAACGTGACAGAAACATCGCACGCTAAACAGTCGTTTATATAGCCCGATTGCACGCTAAGTACTCGTTTATATTGCTCGATATATTGCTACAAGTATGTCAGCACGTTGACCGATATTAAATATATGAAGTGTTTTAGAATTTGCATATAATAGAATTCATTCAGCGATCCACAATTGATTCTTTTTCCTTTAATAAAAACTAGTTGACTTATCTTCATTTATAATTTTTCAATTCGATGATTAATCCTTCGTCGAATGTGAAATTTTCACCCTTCGTGCGCAATCTGGGTCTTCGAACTTCGGTACAGATTTTTATACTTTTTTGGATTGTATAAAAATTTGAAAAAAATCTTACATACTCGTGAAAGCTTTAACAATGAATTTTTAATATCGCAAAAGTTAGATTGTATTTTACCTTTTTTTGAAATAGATTTTTTATCTACTAGAAATTAGAATTAAAAAATCTGTGCTTTTAAAGTCCAATATTGTTGATGGAAGGTTAACATCCCGGTATTTGAATCTTATAAAGGAGAACCTAAACATTCAATAAACGATTAAATTTAAGAAATTAAATGTTTTTGTTATTTGTAACAGTTTATAGATTATTTTTAAATCTTTATTAAAAAGAAAACTCGTTTTTTCTTAACTCGAAATCTTATTAAGTCACAAATGAGTTTCAACTTTGGATAAAGTCGTCTTCTGATTTCTACCAGATCACACAGATTTTCATCCAACTTTTCAGTTACGTCACATTTAAAATGTAGAAATGTCGCTGTAATATGTACAGCTTTGAAATATCATGCAAACGACGTAACTGTGTCTATATCGGTATGTGTAAACGTAGCGTAATATAAAATATTTCCTACCCATATGCTGACCGCACAGGTCTCTCGTCAAGACCAGATCTCTGTCAAGGTTCTCAGCATTCGAGCGATTTGCATTTGTAGCATGTAAAACACCGGTTACGACATTAATTCGCAACGGTATAACAATTGCGTAACTTGAGTTGAAAGTGGCGCTATATAAAAAATAATTTTAGTAGTAAATATATAAATTATATGCTTAACTGTAAAATATTATACATATGTATATTTGAGAAATAATATATTAAAATTTTAATTGGGTTATTCGAGCACTGCAGGAATTAAAATAAATTGCATTACTGAGTAAATTGCATCAATTATACTTAGGATTAAACGCATTTAATTAAAAAATATTTATGTGTTATATTGATTATGTAACACGCACATTTAACTTATAAATGCCAATTTTTTTATCGAGATCATTTTATACGTCGTTTTAATTATTTCAATTACATTTATGTTGCACATGTTATTTTTATTATTATTTTTTTTTAATACTGTTTTTCATGATTATAAGTACCATGAAAATTCCCAAAAATTTGTACGATATAATTGAGCCATGCTGTTTAACCGCAAGCGTAACAGGAAGAGTTTCACCGGTTCTTTTTCTTCAGGTATATTCACGCGCTTTCGCGTTTCCCTAGTCACGAGTAATAAACTTTTTATATCTACCTGTAGGCTAGGAGAGATCGTGCTCCTGTATTTTCTTCGTGCTTCAATTCATTGGCGTGACGAGAATTTTCGCTCAGCGGATTTGACGACGCACTTACAAAATCTGATTTTATCAAATGAACGTGAGTAATCGAACCGAGTCGAATGTCGTTGCATGTAAAACGGGGCGAGTTTCGCCTATGGTTATACGATTCTATCAGCGGTAACCTATTCTCGATCTCGGATAAGCGACAAAGCGCGAGCAGAGTCTTTCGCGTCGAGCAACATATCTGTTGGATCTGGAATTTTATGACGAGGTGAATTGCGGCAGTGTGGAAATTCTGAAAAATAATTAAGCGCTGGAAATACGAAACGCAGGGTAAAATTGTACAGAGAATTTATCTCTTCTGATAACTTATCGCTTATTTCTATGAACAGTAAAGCATTACAAGCATCCAGAGAATAATGTGTTTCCTCGCATATTTTCATATGTAATGTGAGATGTAATTGACATTTAATTAGTTAAATAACATCGAAACGAAACATTAATTTTCTTATTCATATCCAGCTGTAATAATTGGTGCGAAACCGGTTTGAAAAATATTCTTCCAGAAAATACTAGAGGATTCCTGCTTGTAATAAGTAAAAATGTCGTAATTAGAAAGTTCTCATTAAACGTGTGTAGTTTTAAATCATCTTCTCCTAATACATCAACATTAAAAGTAATAATCTTTCAAACCGGTTCATATAGTAAGAATCTTATATATGCAGCTCTTTTCCTACGTGAAGTCTTCTCCGTATATATCCGACGGCGACCCAGACAAGCATCCTCTGTTATTGGTTTAACCTGGAGCACCATCGACGCGGTAAACGTCCAGGGAGCCGTTACTTCTCGTAGATAACAGTTGACGTTTCATGTGCGAGTAATATCGTTCTATTCTTCCTTTTGCTATTCTCCGCACATTCGTTGTAAGTGATTTCACAGGGAACGAGAAGAAATGGTACAATATAAAGGTGGGGATGCAATAATTGCCATGTATCCAGCGTGTATCAACGAGTGGTTGCATTTTGCTTGGTCGCGGTAATAAACTTTTATCTCTCAACACGTATATGTATTTGCGGAGAATGTTCTCTTCTCCTCTTTTTTTTTTTTCCACTTTTCTCGCGCCCCCGCGTTGCCGCCCTTCTCTCTGTCCGGAACGCGAAACCGACCGGTTGATGCAGTGGAAGAAGAGGGTGGTTGCGAGGGATAGAAAAAAGGCGACGTGCGCGCGGTGAAAAGAGGGGCTCCGCCATCCCGTACGTCATCTCCCGACGAGATAAAAACTTTAGCGCTCGTTGTTGGAAAAATGTGGCTACCGCGCGGGATGGAGAAGAGTGAGGGTGAAAAGACCACGAGAAAATCGCAGAAACTACCGCGCCACGGTCACGGATCCGTGAACGGACATGTCGTGTATCGCGTTGCGGATGCGACGTGTTTCGCGGGTTGAGAAACTTTTTTCAACGTTGCATTAGAGAGCACAATTATTGCACAACTAACAAGGGGCCTGTTACAATTGTTTGGAATCGATTCGATTCTTCTTGAAATATGTTGTTAAACAACAATCTAAGAGATACGTATTTTTTATTATAGCTCTAAAATCTCAGATTTAAGGGGTGAAACAAAACTAACCCTCAAAGCTAACGCTTTTATTTTACTCCTATTAATTATCAGCAAAACAGTGAGATGTACTCAAAAATGTATACAAAACTGTTATAACTGTATGCATTTAGAATTAAAAAGATTTGATATTTTGAAAATATCTTGATCTCTATTAATTTTGAGGGCTTGTTTGATCTCTTAAATCTTGAGTTTGGATTGATATAAAAAAGAACTATGTGTCTTTTGGTTAGATATTTTTGTATTTTAATTCATGTAATAACATATTTTAAAAAGAATCGGTTCTGAACCGTAGTTCTGATAGAGCTCTTGTTAGTTGAGTTCGCGCAATTCCTCGTGAAAA